TGCCTGTGTCAAATCCCCCTCTACCTTTCTCTTCTATGGACATCTGTCATTGGGTGTAAGATCCATCTGGATAATCCAGGATAATCTCATCTGGAGATCCCTGATTTAATTACACCTGTAAAGACCTTTTTTCCAAATAAGTTCACATTGACAGTTTCTGTAGTTTAAGGCACGGGCATATCTTTGTGGTGGTCACCATTCAACACACAGTGTTTAACTAGCTGGGTGAGTCCCACGTTCACCTAAAAAATGGCAGGGGAATGATCCAGATTTCTGCTGGCCACTCTAATCCCAATAGCTAATGCCGGCTGTTTTAAGAGAGGAAGTGATTTCACCTCAGCTACACATAGGGGGCAGGGAAGCCTCAACGTTTCCAAGGACCCCAAGTGAACTGGCAAAAAAGCAAAAATCAGAACACAAAACAAAAGGCTTTAATGCATTCCTTCTCTTCACAAGGAGGGTTTGGGTTGGCAGCACCATTGGTGACGCCCTGGTCCTCATAGCCTGCAGATGATTCCAGTTAATACCCCTGCGGACGCCACTACCTTCTTTTCAGCAGAAGGGCTCCTTTCTGTTTTGGACTTTCTTCTCCCCAGTAGGTTGTTACTGTTGCTAACTGGGCAGGGTGGAGTGGCTCTTCCTCTAAGTTTATAAAAAACTCTGTTGCAGATGTCCAACTTGGCCTGACTGCTAATAAACAAGTTGGCCTATTTGAAAGTGAGTTTTGGATCATAGCAATACCTAATACTCAGCATTTTGCTCAGCGGGTGACCAGTGTTTTTTCACTTTAAGCTTTGACTTCATCCTATTGCCCATATTGTCACTGCCTTCCAGCCACATGCCACCAGGAACACAACTGTGTTGAACAAGCTGAGTTTGTTGTTGCAGTGAGGGAGAGTACACGGCATGGGGGGTCCTGGGAAGAGGGTTGTAGAAAGCACTTTCTATAGGATTTGGGCGTGTGTCAGGTGATTTTAGGGCAGGTTGAAGGAAGCAGGGCTTTGTTCTGGATTGGATGCTGTCAGAAAGCAAGGGTAATTCTATGACTGGGAGTCTTAATAACACTTATCTAGAAGGAGGGAATATTAAAGTGAGGCTAAAGCTTGTGATGTGTAAAGAAGCAGCAGCCACTGACGTGAGCCAGGATTGGAGGATATTTGGTCATTTTGTGGTTTGGACAAGGTTTATGTTGTTTCTGTGTTCAGAGGTGATTACAGAATGGTCTTGTTTTTATCTTGATTCATCCTGGTCACAGAGTGGCCTTGTCTGATATTGGTGTTCTGGGAAATTACATTCAATAGTAGAATACCCAGACCCAGCTGTCCTACTTACCAATGACACAATCCTGGCAAGACTATAAAGGTAGGACATGGACAGGAACCAAAGCCCCAAGGCCTCTTTAAATACCTTGGGAATGGGCCTCGGTGTTGCTCTGAGCACCCCGCCAGCTCAGAGCAACACCGAGGCCCAGCTGATAGCACCAGGCCAGCTCCTGGATGGCAGGGGCTGCCTCTCTCTTTCTCAGTCCTCCCTTTTGGCCAAGAGCAGAGGAGGTCAGGCCAGAGGATAGTAATTCATGATATCCACCTTTTTACCTCTGCCGAGGCAGGAGGCTGTTTAGAGAATGCAGTCTGTGATTGGGCTAGGGTGAAGTAAGTCTCTCCTGCTTCTTTTGTTACAGAATGAGTTGCTGAATTCTCTGATGTAACAATGACTGTGCAATCACATTAAGACTCTACACAGCATACATTGGTCAATTGTAACACAATTACCAGAAACAAAATGATTATTAGTCCCATAAAAGGTCTTGAAGCCAGTGGCCTAGATTATAAAACCTAGGCAATGAGAACGTGTTTCAGAATCCAGATAAGTACTCACAGCCCATTCAGAGGTGTTTAAAGAGGCCTTGGGGCATTGGTTTCTGTCCATGTCCTACCTTTACAGTCTTGCCAGGATTGTGTCATTGGTAGGTGGGACATACATTGGGGACATCCTCGCAATATGTCTAAAATTATCCCAACAATGTTAGTTCCATATCATAGCCCATTCATCTCTGATGTTGTACTAACATCTTGAAGCATTTTTATTAAACTCCATTTTGTTGTTATGGCTAGCTTAGTAGTTAATGGCAAAGCATCTGAGGGTTTTTAAATCTCCATTAATTTTGATCCTTGCAGCAGGCAAGGTGAGGTGGAAGTGCTGGGGGTGAGGTTTCAAGCCTGAGCCCAGGCAGGAGCCAGAGCCCGAGGTGAGTGGTGACTGCTGTCGAATTGCAGGACACAAGCTGCTGAGCAGAACTGGCTGTGTAATTTATGGGGCCCAGTGCAAAATGAAAACACAAGTACCCTTGTTAAAAAATTAGGAATTTCAAGACAGTGACAGCAGAGCATTAAAACAAGGGCAGGGCCCTTCTGAGTGGGAAGCCCTGTGTGACTGCAGAGGCTGAATGCCGAGGAGAATGACCTTGCTCCTGAGCAGCTTGGAGGGGCCCACCTGAGTCCTTTGGAGCCCTGCAACATGGAGGGGAAGGACAACTATGTTCTAGTAACCTGACTCCAGAGGAAAGTCAAGAACTGGAGAACATCCGAGGAAGAAAGCAGGAACTGCGGGCTGACATACAGAGACTGAAGGGAGAGAGAGCAGAATAGTTAACAGAATCGAGAACCTGGGATCCACAGAAGAAAGGAGAAACAGGCAGAGGAACAAATAAGTGGCCATGGTTAGGAAAACATTTAATGCAGGCCCTAAAAGGAGATCCAGTTCTTAATAGAGAATGGTCTATTGAAGAACACCTGTGAATACATTGCATTGCTCAGTTCTTATAGATGAAGGACTCAGCAAAAGCGCCACTGGGTACTGCACTGGGGGAGAGAGATGAGTTTAATATTCAGGTTTTTGTGCCTGATGGTTAATTTTATGTGACAACTTGGCTAGGCTTTGTTTCCAGTTGCTTGGCCAAACACTAGTCTAGTTGCTGTCATGGGGTAGTTACATGTGATTAGATCAGTTGGCCTTGGGTAGAGAAGATTAGTTTATGTAATGTAATGTAATGACCCTATATTTAATGTAGGGTACCATATTTTTGTGAAAATAACGTGCTCCTTCTTAGTTTGTTTGCCAACAGCACCCTTCCCTTGTGAAGTATTTTCGTAAGTGTGTTGTGCTAATTTTTTTTTTATAACAACATGTAAAAAATTGGCGTTTTTTTGTGTAAAATTATGATAATCATCTTCCTGGATCAATAAGCAACATCATGATAAATGGAGAAAATATTAAAGTTGTCAAGGATTTCATTTTACTTGGATCCATAATCAATGCCCATGGAAGCAGCAGTCAAGAAATCAAACGGTGTATTACATTGGGCAAATCTGTCGCAAAAGACCTCTTTAAAGTGTTAAAAAGCAAAGATGTCACTTTGACGACTAAGGTGCGCCTGACTCAAGCCATGATATTTTCAATTGCCTCATATACATGTGAAAGCTGGACAAGAATAAGGAGACTGAAGAAGAATTGATACCTTTGAATGATGGTGTTGGCAAAGAATGCTGAATATACCGTAGACTGCCAGAAAAATGAACACATTTGTCTTGGAAGAAATACAGCCAAATGCTCCTTGGAAGCAAGGACGACAAGACTTCATCTCATGTACTTGGACATGTTATCAGGAGAAGGACATCATGCTTGGTAAAGTAGAGGGTCAACATAAAAGAGGAAGACCCTCGACGAGATGGATTGACACAGTGGCTACAACAACGGGTTTAAACAGCGATTGTGAAGATGGAGCAGTATTTTGTTCTGTCGTACATGGGGTTGCTTTGAGTTGGAACCAGCTCGACTACACCTAACAACAGCAACAAATCCCCTTCCACAGTGCAATCTAATGAAATGTAATCAATCAATCTGTTGAGGTCATACAAGTGTAGGGTGGATCCTAAACCTAACCATGTCCACGTAAGGGTCATCTACAAGGCAAGGAATGCCAAAGAACCAAGGAACACCTGGAGCTACCAACAAGGAAGGAATCTACATGGATGAGACCCTGATTTGGACTTCTAGCCTCCGGAACTGTGAAAAAAAAAATTATTTTCTGTTCCTTAAAGTCACCCATTGTGGTATTTCTGTTATGGCAGCACTAGGTAACTAAGACACATGAGTTCAAGGATCTAAACTTTGTCCAGGCATTACAGCAATCCTGTGGAGCTTCTGAATGCTGGGAGATGCACAGAAGATTGATGGGGTCCATGGAGTCATTTGCCCCGTGATACTGTCAGTGGAAGGTTTTAGGACGAGGACACTTATGCTCTCTCCTTTGCCATCATCGTATTAAATGCTAGTCATAACCCCAATGTCAAAGAGTAGCCCATTGTGGAAAGATTCATTGCCGTACAATTGAGGCATCAGTGATGAAGAAGTCCTGCCAGAGGAGAAACTCCGGATTCTGTCATTTCCCGATAAAACATCAACAACGATATTATCCTCTTACTTGCACCTTTCCCACGCCCATGTTGCCGTGAAAACGCAGATGATCTAAATGCCCAAGAGCTTTGGATTTGGGCCTCCAATGCAAAACTGACGTCTGCTAATAATAATGACGGTAATAATCCTAATAGGTTTAACCGTGTAGCATTTTAAGAGTTAGGAAAACAGCAGGCAGGACTTTTTGACGATAGGGGTGGATCCTAGCATTTTATTTCCATGACTTGGCCCAGAAATCAGAGGGGCTGGAGCTTGGGGGGGAGGCCCCGGGGGAACTGTCCGGAGTGGACCCCCGAAAGTGGGGCCGAGCTGTTTAAACCTAAAGGGACCTAAGAGATGGCGGGAGTGCGGCTAAATCCCGCGCGGGGCGCGGCCGTTGGTGACGCACGCCGGGGAGCAGGCGCCCACGTTTCCACCACTAGCGCGGCCTCCCCCTCGCCCCCCCCTCTGGAGGCGCCCGGCCCCGCCCCGCGCCCCGACCGCTCACGGCGGCCCCTCCCCCTCCGCCCTGGGTCTCTCGCCGCCACCTCCCAGCCGCCCGCAGTCTCCCGCCGCCGCCTCCCAGGCATGGCCCAGAGCCTCGCCGCACTATGGCAGCAGCACGGCACAGCACCCTGGACTTCACGTTCGGCGCCAAAGGTGAGGGCGCTCGCCGCCACCTGCCCGCGGGCCGGGCTGGGGCCGGGCGGGCGCGCGGGAACGAACAAT